ACGAGTCCTATATCGACATTACCTGAAAGGCCGCTCAGCAAGGAAGAAGGCACTGCTCCAAAATCACCATAAAAAGGCCAGACTACAGTTTGCAACTGCACATGGGGACAAAGATCGTACCTTTTGGAGAAATGTCATCTGGTCTGATAGAACTGTTTGGCCATAATGACCATCGTTATGTTTGGAGGAAAAAGGGGACACTTGCAACCCGAAGAACACCATCCCAACCGTGAAGCAATGGGTTGGCAGCATCATGCTGTGGGTGTGCTTTGCTGCAGGAGGGACTGGTGCACTTCACAAAATAGATGGCATCATGACGAAGGAAAATTATGTGGATATATTGAAGCAACATCTCAAGACATCAGTCGGGAAGTTAAAGCTTGGTCGCAAATGGGTCTTCCAAATGGACAATGACCCCAAGCATACTTCCAAAGTTGTGGCAAAATGGCTTAAGGACAACAAAGTCAAGGTATTGGAGTGGCCATCACAAAGCCCTGACCTCAATCCTATAGAACATTTGTGGGCAGAACTGAAAAAGCGTGTGCGAGCAAGGAGGCCTACAAATCTGACTCCGTTACACCAGCTCTGTCAGGAGGAATGGGCCAAAATTCACCCAACTTATTATGGGAAGCTTGTGGAAGGCTACCCGAAATGTTTGACCCAAGTTAAGCAATTTAAAGGCAATGCTACCAAATACTAATTGAGTGTATGTAAACTTCTGACCCACTGGGAATGTGATGAAATAAATAAAAGCTGAAAGAAATCGTTCTCTCTACTATTATTCTGACATTTCACATTCTTAAAATAAAGTGGTGATCCTAACTGACCTAAGACCGGGAATTTTTACTAGGATTAAATGTCAGGAATTGTGAAAAACAGAGTTTAAATGTATTTGGCTAAGGTGTATGTAAACTTCCGACTTCAACTGTATGTAAATAAGGTATTTCTGTTTTTTATTTTTAGATTCTCTATTCTGATGAAACCAAGATTGAACTCTTTGGCCTGAATGCCAAGCATCAAGTCTGGAGGAAACTTGGCACCATCCCTACGGTGAAGCATGGTTCTGGCAGCATCATGTTGTGGGGATGTTTTTCAGCGGCAGGAACTGGGAGACTAGTCAGGATCGAGGGAAAGATGAACGGAGAAAAGTACAGAGCGATTCTTGATGAAAACCTGCTCCAGAGCGCTCAGGACATCAGACTGGGGCGAAGGTTCACCTTCCAACAGGACAATGACCCTAAGCACACAGCCAAGACTTTGGGACAAGTCTCTGAATGTCCGTGAGTGGCCCAGCCAGAGCTCGGACTTGACCTGATCGAACATCTCTGGCGAGACCTGAAAATAGCTGTGCAGCAACGCTCCCCATCCAACCTGACAGAGCTCGAGAGGATCTGCAGAGAAGAATGGGAGAAACTCCCCAAATACAGGTGTGCCAAGCTTGTTGCATCATTGGATTTTCAACATTGCAGAACAAATTACATTTTTTGTAAACTTAACTTTACGATTTTAATTGAGAAAATAAAGACAAATGGCATGGACAAAATTATTGGCACCCTGGAGCTAGTACTTGGTTGCACAGCCTTTGGCCAAGGTAACTGCAGACAAACACGTTATTGCCATCAATGAGTTTGCTGCACCTTTCTACTGGCAATTTGGCAAACCATTCAGCAGCAAACTGCTCTCATTCTTCAATATTTGAGGGGTGCCCACCAACTGCTGTTTTCAGATCCCGACATAGTTGGGCTTTTTTTACCCCCCTTTTCTCCCTAATTTCGTGATATCCAATTACGATCCAAAACCCTCCCCTAACCCGGACGACGCTGGGCCATTTGTGTGCCGCCCTATGGGACTCCCGGTCACGACCGGTTGTGACACAGCCTGGGATCGAACCCGGTTCTGTAGTGACGCCTCAAGCACTTCGATGCAGTGCCTTAGACTTCGCTGGCCACTACAGAACAGTCCACCATCTCTTCTTAACCATTGTTGAGTGCTTTGTTATGTGTGTTTGGGGTCGTTGTCCTGCTGGAAGACCCACAACCTTCAAAGGAGACCCAATTTCTGGACACTGGGTTGAACATTGGGGACTACAAAACACCTGATAATCTGCTGATTTCATGATGCCTTTAGTATGTTCAAGGACCCCAGTACCAGAGGCAGCAAAGCAACCCCACATAATTATCAAACTTGATTGTAGGGAGGGTGTTCTTTTCATTGAATGCTTCATTCGGTCATCAGCCCTGATCTGTATTGCCAAAGAACAGTAATTTTGTTTCATTGGTCCACAGAACATTTCCCCCAGGATTTACGTTTATTTAGGTGGGTTTTTAAGAAGTTCAAATCAGGCTTTCTCGTCTCCTTCAGCAGTGGGGTATTCCTATGTTTACCAACGACAGTGACTGTGTTGCCAGTGTCCCCTCCAAAACTTCCACCCTACTTGTGTCTTTAGACGCAGCCCGGAACCTTGCCCAGACAGCATGGGGAGACAGCGGCGTGTACGTCTGCTTTGTGGCGTCCTCTCAGGATCTGACAGGGAACAGCGAGGACTACACTGAGCTCATAGTGCTGGGTGAGTGGCTCCTATCCTCTCAGAGCCTCCATAGATCCCCCTGACCTGCCCGCATCTTCCACCAACACCCCTCCGTCCTTTGACAAAAAACAACAACTTTTCCATTCAGTATTTGTATTTAGTACACAATATAGTACAGTACTGATCAAAGACAATTTAAAATGCAAGTTTGTGAATAAATAAATCTGTTACATGAATACTGTGATGACACTATAGCTATAGGTGGATAAACCGATTTGCAATGGCCACAGACTATCCTAGAAGCAAAAAGGATCCAAAACTGCTTCCTCATTCTTTGTTTTCACATTTAGCAAGTAGTCTGCAAGGTAAACGAGTACAATTAGTACATTTCAATAGATATCAGAAACATAGGCAGGTGCAAAGCGAAGAATATACAAAGAGTGAGACAGGGTTTTGTGTGCAAACTAAAAAAATCAACATACAATTGAATGAACTGGGACACTGTGATACCTTGGGGTATAAAACAATTATCTTACAAAGTGCCGATAAACATGGTATGTAATGCAGCAAACAAATTCCTTGGGCAACGCTGGACTGTTGTGTTTGGTTATGCACAAAGGGCCAGCCAGACAACATTTTACTACAGTCTGGTTTTAGTGTCACAGAAGAACAGTTCTGAGATTAGCATTGAGCCGTGGCAGCACATTTCTCCACTGATAATCAGACCTGTCTGGATAATCATAGGGGAAACTAAAACTGTGAGGAGCCTAGTCTTGTCTATCAATCCCTAACTCCTTTTGACTACTCTAGTGTTTTTCAATCTGAAGTTCTGAAGGAACTAGATAGGTGCGAGCAATATTCTAGATATCCCCAAACCTCATCGGGACTGGAGCCATCGCCATATTGTTTACATCTGTCCGGTCCCTTCCAAAGTAGGGGACCTGAATGGTTTAAAGACAAGGGGTTCTTAAAGATACTTTTTCTAGTCAAACATTAAAAGATATTTGTTGACGAAAGTGGGCATGAAGCATTCTGTAGAAGTGCAAAATATCTGTTTGTGACCAATGTGACAGGTAATACAACAACAAGCATTAGATGATATTAAGCAAGTGTTTCTAGACTGAAATGTAATCGGAATCAGTAAAAAGAGTAGTTGCTTGTTTTCAGTAAACCATCAGGAAGTGTTTCCTTACTGCTATTCTGAAATGACAGAAGAAGTGCATTACAGGGGTAACCATCAAACACTTACTTACAGGTGATCAATTTACCTCGGCCCGAATACATAGATAAAACTGACTCACTGACAGTTAGGCCTAGTAACTGTAATGGGAAAACCATAGTATTTCTGTGGGTAAAACAATACTTGAGGTCATTTCATGAATGACAGATAGTGCCCCCTGAGTGTCTGCTTTGAACTAGGGGAAGAGAGATATTGCCTTGTTTGATATGCAGGTTAAAATCAAGAAGTGTATTCAATGAAAACAATGCCATTTCAATGCAATTTCAATGAGCTATACGGAGGCCCCCGCATTGTTACAGTTGGAATCCCTGTGTATATGCCAACCTACCCTTACAAAACAGTCTAATCAGGTCCTAGTAAGTTACGAGCGGAAGGCAAGTCACCCGAAGACAGAAGCTCCATGCTTATCTGAAGGCTGCAGATTAATTGACTGTTAGTTAGACTGCTGAAATGGGACTAATAAAACAAGTACTGGCCAGAGAACCGACTGGTAACGGCAACGTTCTCCCTAAGAAAAAACTACATAAAACAAAAACAAGCTGCTTTGAAGAAATCTAACATCTAGTTCAGTCATTTTTTTAAGGCAAGGCTTTCTTTCTTTAGTTTGAGACGGCTATGGATTTCACAGACACACAAACGTATACATGTCTCATATACAGGTCTTACATTTAAAGGCTTTTATCCACAGCTTCGATTGTGGTCCGCAGAGTGCAGAGAAGCAACAGAAAGGGCACAGGGATAGATACAATAATACAGTTGAGTACTAACATGTATAACTCTGATATGCTGCATCAACGCTCCTCTGCCCAACATCCTACCCTTGGACTAGCCACTACGCTTCAAGGGCCGGTTTCCCAGACCAATATTAAGCTTAGTCCTGGAATAGAAAGCATGCTCAATGGAGAATCTGTATTTTGAAAGTGCTTTTTAGTCTAGGAACAGGCTTAGGTGGAATCTGGTTCTGGGAAACCAGCCCTAAATGTTTAGGGTTATGTGGCTTTTATCAAAGGTAAGATCTGTTGGGCAGACTCTGGAGTATTTTGTTTCAATAGATATATTTCCTATATATACACATCTGGTTCTGTATAAGGATGACAATCACAACAGTGATACAGGTCTAGAGCTCCCTGTGAAATGGTAGTGAGGCAAGGCCCGACTTGAGTAGGACAGTGATGGGTTTCCCCTACGGGTGTGAAGAGACAGCGAGTGTTGAGTTCTGGATGGGTCCACTCAGGTCGAGAGCTGGGCCAATTCGTGGTCGCTTGACGAGCTCACCTGCCTCTCCACCCCCCTTTGCATCTTACAGGCGGCCATTCTTGCCTGAATGTCTCCCTTCTTCTCAAAGTAGTCCACCAGGGGCGGCTCGGTGAGCATCGACGCCAGCACCTGCTCGAAGGTGATGGACCAATCGCCGTCCAGTATGCTGCCTCGCCGCTGCTGGTCACCGGAGCAGCCAATCAGGACCGTGTCGTCGGCGATGTCCTCGCACTGCAGCGAACCTGTGCTCACCATGGAGTAGGACGAGACCGACGTGTCATCCTTCACTTCTTCATCCGACGACTGCTGAGGCGGCGTTTCTAGCTGGGCCTCCGCCAAGGCCCTGCAGACCAGGGACTGGCCTGAGCTGCTCTCCCCGTTCGGCCCCTCTTTTTCGGGTTGGGAAAGTTCAGCGGCAGGGGCGGGAGCCTGGGCATTGGTGGTGTCGGTTTGTTTCTTGGCACCGTTGTTGGTGAACTTCTTGCCCACCTCTCCAATGCGCAGCAGCAGGCTGGCCACAGTGGCGATGGCGTGGTAGAGCTCCTGCTCCAGTGGGTCCTCGCTGAACATGTTGTACAGGGTCTTACACAGCTCTATGAACTGTTCCTGTAGAGGACACAAACAGGGGATCAGTCAGAAATGGCTTCTCTAAGTGTGTATGAGTAGTCAACTCTCAGTAATGTAGTATGTACCTGGTTCATCCTGCGAAGGTCTTTAATAGTCTCCTTCTTGGGCTCATTCTCCATGGCCCACATCCGCAGGTAGTACTTATAGTCCTTCACCTCTGAAACAGACATCACAATATTACACTGGATACAGTGCCTTCAGAAATTATTCATACCTCTTGACTTATTCCATATTTTGTTGTGTTACAGCCTGAATTTAAAATGGATTAAATATATATGTTTTTTCTCACCAATCTACACACAATAATCCATAATGACAAAGTGAAAACATGTCTTTAAAGATGATCGCAATTGTATTGAAAATGAAATACAGAAATATATAATTCACAAGTATTCGCACCCGACTCAATACTTTGATTACAGCTTTGAGTCGTCTTGGGTATGTCTGTATCAGCTTTGCACATCTGGATTTTTCCCATTCTTCCTCTCAGATATTCTCAAGCTCTGTTAAGTTAGATGGGGAGTGGCAGTGAACAGCAATCTTCAAGTCTTTCCACAGATTTTCAATGGGATTCAAGTCTGGGCTTTGGCTGGGCCACTCAATGGCTTTCAAATTTTTGTTCTGAAGCCATTCCAGCATTGCTTTGGCTGTATGCTTGGGGTCATTTTCCTCTTGGAACGTAAATCTTCGCCCCAGTCTAAGGTTGTTTGCACTCTGAAGCAGGTTCTCATCAAGGATTTTCCTGTATTTGGCTCCATTCATTGTTCCCTCTATCCTTACCAGTTTCCATCAGACCACAATCGTTTTCCTTATGCTCTCAGAGTCTTTCACATGCCTTTTTGCAAACTCCAGGTGTGCTGTCATGTGCCTTTTTCTCAGGAGTGGCTTCCGTCTGGCCACTCTCCCATAAAGCCCAGATTGGTGAAGTGCTGTAGAGACTTGTCATTCTGACAGGTTCTCCCATCTCAGCCAAGTAACTCTGTAGTTTTGTCAGAGTGGTCACTGTGTTCTTGGTCACCTCCCTGACCAAGGTCCTTCTTGCCTGGTTGCTCAGTTTGGTTGGATGGCCAGCGCTAGGTAGTCTGGGTAATTCCATATTTTTTCAATTTCCCAATGATGGAGTTCACTATGCTCTTGGAAACTTTCAACACTTTCAATAGTTTTATACTCTTCCCCAGACATATGCCTCATCACAATTGTCAGAGATCTATGGACAGTTCCTTAGACTTCCTGGTATAGTTTCTGCTCTGACATGAACTGTCAACTGTGGGACCTTATATAGACAGGTGTGTTTCTTTCTAAATCATGTCCAAACAATTGAATGGGCCACAGGTGGACTCCAATCACGTTGTAGTGACATCTCAAGGATTATCAAATTAAATTGGATGCACCTGAGCTCAATTTGGAGTGTCATAGCAAAGGGGTGTGAATAACTATGTAAATTAGATATTTCTGTATTTAATTTTCAATAAATTTGCAAATATTTATAAAAACATGTTTTTACTTTGTCATTATGGGGTATTGTGTGTAGATGGGTGAGAAAAACAAAAAAACAAATGTAATCCATTTTGAATTCAGGCTGTAACACAACAAAATGTAGAATAAGTCAAGGGGTATGAATGCTTTCTGAAGGCACTGTATGTATAGCAATACCGCTTGAATCTTGCAGAGGGCAGGACAAGGAAGAAGACCAATACTGTAGAAAGGTCATTAATATAGGCAGGGGAGTGAGGCACACCTATCTTCTCCTCTGCATCTCTGCTTCCCGACGCGTCCCCAGCCTCTTTCACCTCCTCTCCTGCAGACAGAGACAACCACCACCATCATCATGTCCACAAAGTCACTAATCAGACCATCCACACCAGTGTACACACTACTGTGACAAGTAGGAAAGTGGGTTACCTAGACAGGGGTTGGGAGGTGGGGGGTCTTTCCAGTGTAAAATGATTACAGTTAGTTTGATGTTTGTGCTAGTTTGTGAGACATCCACTTCACAGAAAATGTGACTCAACTAGCCCCCAGATGCTAGGAGGCTAGTTCTGTAATCTGCTGGTATGATGCTGTGCTGTCATTGAATGTGCTATACCACATGGGGAGGTTATTAACAGGTTAGAGATATGTCCTCTATGAACTACAACTAATCATTGTTTCACAAGTTTTCAGATTATTCAAACATGATATTGACTATTCCCCCTGAAGACAGTGTGGCCACCATTTTGTTGATCAAAAGTGTCTTTGTGACACAGAGATTTACAGAGAGACAAACCTGAGGTCACTTCCTGCACCAGGAAGTCCAGATCAGACAGGAAGGTAGGTTCTGGAGCGGTGAGAAGAAATTGGAACCAGATGGGGAGAGAGGACAGACATGAGAGGAAGAATTAAAGAGAGCGATAGATAAAGAGCAAGATAGAGAGATTAAGACAAGTGAGAAGGGAGGGAGGAGAGGAGAGGAGAGAGGGAGGAAAGAGAGGGTGGGAGGAGAAAGAGGGAGGCAGGGAGGGAGGGCATCAAACGATAGGAAGATGAGAATACATATTCTGTTTAGTTAAGTCAGTAGTAGGAATCCGTTTTCCATGCACAGACGCATGCAAGGGAGCAGGAATGTAAGAACCACTCATTGCCTCAAGCAAAGAAATCTAACCAACATGTAAAATATTGCATGTAAATTGTGAGCAAACTACAGCATGAAAGATGGTTCACAAGTGTGTGTGTTCCCTCCTATGAGGGAATATGTTATGTTTATGTAAACAGCAATGTGTGTGTGTACCCTGTGGAGTGTCATCGTCAGTGAAGAACTGTGCCGCTTCCAGTGCAGACTCCGCCTCCTCTGGACACAATGCTGTAAGAGAAACAAGAAGCATGTTAGCCCCAGAATGTATTATCATAACACATACACAAGTACGCACGTACACATCTTTTCTCCAAAACTGCTAAATTGTTCCCTTTCTGAAACACTATTGTAAAACACCCACAGACACTAACGTAATTATTCTGTCATGCACACACATGGTGTCTGTCCCTTTAAAAACACACCACCCAAAGCACAGGGTCACAGGACTGTGTGCTGATTCACTACAACTCTGTTTGAGGGAAAAAGTGTGTGAAGCCAATTAGTGAGAATGGGAGTGTGAATATCCATGTCTACAATGAGTTGATCCGACTGTTATTGGACCGGCAGAGTTGTGCTTTTCCCTGCTTACCTGGAGGCAGGTGAAGTTTGTACAGTAACTTCAGTTTCTCTGTCATGTCTCCGTGGTACATCCCACCTGATGGGAGACACGTGGTGGGTCAGTTGGATCCATGCTGACTACAATCTTATAATCAACCAGTCAATTAAACAGTGGGATTTATCCTGCTACAAACCTGCACATAATTGGTCTCGAAACTACCTCAAAACACCAGCTGCACAACCCCCACCCCTCCCCCCGACAGCCGAAACATCAATGTTTTATATAGAAATCAGTTCATTTTTCAAACAGCAAGTTGCGATTCTTTACTTCAAATCTCCAAACTCACTCAGGCCTGTGACAAACTCCTTGAAGTTGATGAGGCCATCCTTGTTCATGTCCAGCAGGTGGAAGAGGCGTGCGGCCAGCGTGGCGGTGTGCGTGCCACACAGCCAGGTGCCCAGGGCCCCGAACAGCTGGCAGAACTGTCCCAGGTCAATGCGGTACTGCTCCAGGTAGGGCAGGCTGGGGTCGTGGCGCTCCGCCGCCGTGCTGCTGGCCCCCCAGTAGCAGCTCATGATGTGCTTGGCCTGCCATGGGGAAGGGAAGTGGGATGCAGGTCAGAGGTGGTACTGGCTGATTGAAACATTGAATCGATAGTGCAATGGTGCTTGACAGTTGAGGGACTTGAGCTATTGACAATGGCTTGACAATGATGGCTTTTGTTGCAGGCTTTCAGTTTAATTTTAAAAAAATGTTTTGTCACCTATACCGGATAGGTGCAGTGAAATGTGTTGTCTTACACTTGTTTGGGGCATGACTCACAACTTGTTTTGTTCTCAGTCTATTGATAATGGTTACATAACACCTAACGTGTGACAGCTGTGTGACTTGTTGTCATTACCACCCACCACACTAAGTTGACACGCCCGAGTATAGAACAACATTGCTAACAGAGAAAACTAAATGTTCCAAACCAGTGTCGGGTAAAAAGCCGTAGGTGCGGTAATAACAATGATTTCTTACCTTAAAGAGAACATAGAGTTCCTCTAGCTCCTCAATACTGAAGGCTGAGTCTGTCATGATAGCTCTCACCTGTGGACAGACACACAGCTCTACATCAGACAGAGAAAGACCTCTGGCTACAGCATATTAGGTAGGCACTGTATGACTTAGGCATGGACATGTTTTTGTTCCAACCTTAACATAACCTATTACATCTGATATCCACAATTGATCATTATTAAAGGGATACTTCAGGTTTTTGGCAATGAGGCCCCTTATCTACTTCCCCAGAGTCAGATGAACTCATGGATACCATTTTTATGTCTCTGTGTCCAGTATGAAGGAAGTTAGTGCTAGTTTCGAGAGCCAATGCTACCTAGCATTAGCCCAATGACTGGAAGTCTATGGGTATCTGCTAGCATTTTGGCCTCATTGCCAAGATCTTGAAGTATCCCTTAAAGGTTGGAATGTATAACCTAATCCTGAGTCATATACACAGAGCATACCAAACATTAGGAACACCTTCCTAATATTGAGTTGCACCCCCTTTTGCCCTCAGAACAGCCTCAATTTGTCGGTACATGGACTCTCCAAGTTGTCAAAAGCATTCCACAGGGATGCTGGCCCATGTTGACTCCAATGCTTCCCACAGTTATGTCAAGTTGGCTGGATGTCCTTTGGGTGGTAGACCATTCTTCATACACACGGGAAACTATTGAGCGTGAAAAGCCCAGCAGCGTTGCTGTTCTTGACACACTCAAACTGGTGCATCTGGCACCTACTACCATACCCCGTTCAAAGGCACTTCAATCTTTTGTCTTGCCCATTCACCCTCAATGGCACACATACAATGTCTCAATTGTCTCAAGGCTTAAAAATCCTTCTTTAACCTGTCTCCTCCCCTTCATTTACACTGATTGAAGTGGATTTAACAAGTGACATCAATAAGGGAATTTAGCTTTCACCTGGATTCACATGGTCAGTTTTGTACACTCAAGTGTATAGAGAGTTGGGCCAATGCGGTTTCTGTCTGACCGTTCCAAGCGCACTACTTTCTCCTCCATAGCCATTGCTAAGTGATAATTATGGACATATGAAGATGTCCAGTGAATATGCAATTTGTTGACAACAACACAGTACAGACTTGGATACACATTATCCTGAATACTAATCAATAAAAACTTCTGTTAAATTGGCTGCTCTGTTTTGCTTGTTTACAGTGGGTCATTTCATAGGGAACTGTCAGAGGCGAGGTCACCAAGTGCTTCATTCATGGTCACTTCTTTGCAGTAGTGGAAAAAGTACTAAATTGTCATTCTTGAGTAAAAGTAAAGATACCTTAATAGAAAATGATTCAAGTAAAAGTGAAAGTCACCCAGTAAAATACTACTTCAGTAACATGTCTAAAAGTATCTGTTTTTAAATGTACTTAAGTACAGTGGTGGAAAAAGTACTGAATTGTCACACGGACAGCCAGGAGCACACTCCAACACTCAGACATAATTTGCAAACGCAGTATTTGTGTTTAGTTAGTCCGCCAGATCAGAGGCAGTAGGGATGACAACGTATGATATATTGATATGTGCGTGAATTTGACAATTTCCTTGTCCTGCTAAGCAATCAAAATGTAACAAATACTTTTGGGTGTCATAGAAAATGTATGGAGTAAAAAGTACATATTTTCATTAGGAATGTAGTGGAGTAAAAGTAAAATATATAAACAGTGAAGTAAAGTACAGACACCCACAAAAACTACTTAAGTACTATATATTTCAAAGTTTTTTAGCTAGTTACTTTACACCACTGCTTCTTTGACATATGAACTCACCACGCTCCTCTTGGCGGTGTCCTCCAGCGATTGGATAACCTTTAACCTCTGCTTGAACCTCATCTGCTCGATGACATCAGCACGCAGACTACCAAACTTCTGCTCAGGGACACGGACAGACAGAGGGAAAAGGCAGTGAAGTCACTAATATGCAGAATCTACATCAATCTCTCCTTGTTCTATGCGATTGACTTAACCAGTGAGTTGTGTGACAGAACTAAGAATGGAATGAATTTTCAGTGAAAGGTAATGTGGCTCTACTAGTTATGTCTTACGTCACAGGATGACTTGATGAGCTGGAACACGTCAATCTGAGGCGGTGGCTCATCGCCACTGGTCAACAGGGCGTGGAGGTGGGGAATGGGCGGAGACACAGTCTGCTTGTTGACAACATTGTCCAGATACCTGTGAGTGAGTGAGAGAGAGAGATTTCAATATTTTGCACTCCAGGGCAATGTGGCTATAGCTTCATCAGTCTAGAGTAGTAATGCCATCATTCATAAATAAAAAACCTTTCTGTATAGTTACACTATAGTTACCATTCCAATTAAACATTTGGCTGCGTAATGTGTGTTGGTGTCAATTACATGGGAGTCAGTTCAGTCAAGTGAATTAGGTAAGAAACACTTGAGAAATTGTTCCTTCCTTCCATCCCTTCCTTTCCCTTCCCCCACTCACCGTCCAAGGAAGGTCATGGCCTCTCCCTCATCAGTGCAGCCCAGCAGATGACCACAACTATGGTCCCTCCCTGCCTTCCTTCCATTCCCTCCGTCGATTCCATCCCCCACTCACCGTCCAAGGATGGTCATGGCCTCTCCCTCGTCAGTGCAGCCCAGCAGGGTGTCCATGTTGGCGTGCAGCACGGCCAGTGCTACCTGGAAGATGACCTTGATGCCCTCGTAGAAGAAGCAGTCGACCAGAAGCACGGCGCTGTCGAAGGGCATGACGCTAAGGAACAGGGTGAGGAACCAGGAGAGGGAGATGGTGGAGATGACTCCCAGCTCCTGCATGTGCTCGTAGAGGAAGGGGAGGCACTCGCGAGTCAGCTCCTCGAACACGCCCTGGTCAACGAGAGCACCTGGGAGAGAGAAAGGGAGAGCGAGAGAGAGAGACACAGGGTAAATTATATCCAATTTTCGCTTCCTCTACTCGCTCCAAAACGACTGAGTGGCCATGTCTGAAATCTGGCTTGCCTACTATACTTACTAAAACGACATACCTTGTACTAATCGTACTATTTAGAACGTACTGTTTAGTAATAAGGTATGCAATAAGCAACAAATATCAACATACTACTCATCCATACTGAGAAGCAATGTTCCCTCACATTTTTTTCAGCACTGAGCAAATTTCAGGTCTGCTGAGCGCAAAATGTAACTTTGTGAAAATTCTGTGCAACTTTCAGCGCACGTTTACTGTGAACACTGAGGCTGTACCCGCTTTAAGTTACAGTTTCAGACAGTGGTCAAGTAGGCTACTGTGGCTATTTGATCATAATGTAGGCCAATGGAGAAAATGCATTCCCTAACATTTCAACATGGAAATAGCTGTTCTATCATTCAGCCTACAGTGGCAGCCAATGTGTAGTGTTCAATGTAGGCCTACATTCCATGAGACTTTTGAAAAACACATGCAGGGCTTGACATTAACCTGTTATACACTTGTCCTTCAGACAAGGAGGTGACAGAAAATTTTGTTGTGTTGTTTGTTGCAAGAAACCACTTTACAAAATACAATGCATTATTATTCCCATTCCATTATTACAGAGAATCAGACAAATTATGCTACCCTCTGCCTACTTAGCTTATTCAAGCCGGTCTCAAAACACAACACGGCCTAACACTTGCTTTTCAAAGATGTCTAGAAATGTACACGTTTTGTCCTCTTGTTGGAAGCAATCACTCCCCCATTGCTGACTACAAATGATCTGTAACTGGGCTATTAAATCACCAACTAGCAAAGGATATGAACAAAATGTGCACACGTGGTTATATGCAGCTCTCGCTTTGATCTCAAAACAAGCGCATCTACTCACGACCGCTCATGCTGTAAACACAGTCCAGTTCAAAGTTAATGGCACAGATCCATATATGGCAATGGTCTATTTGCATATAGGCCTACTGCAGCTCTGATTGTTTATGCCGCACCGGTCTGTGTAGAGTACGGGCTGAGTAGTGTGTGTCAATGCAATAGAATCCTACTTCGATGCGTTCTGCCTACAACAAAATCTCTTGCATAGTTAGTTTTGCATATCAAGTCCTGCATAGTTTGTTTTGTTTCGGTATGTTGCATTGAAAGTGGCTAATATTGCGTTGATTCGATCACAATTCCCACAGTAAAGGGAAACGTTGATCGTGTTAACTAAGGGGGAAAACTCTAGAAAGTTGAGTGAAGTTCAACCTCGTGCGTCTCTGCGTGGGCTGATATTTATTCAGCGCGGCAGTCCGAGGGGAGCCGCACACAATTTAGAGGCAACATTGCTGAGAAGGCGTCATCTTAGATGTGCAATTGTGCTTGTTCCCCGCCATTCGTTCAATTTTGTAGAGCGCATCCCCTATTCAGATGATAAACTATTGTCAAACACACGTGTGGAAAGACAATTCTCTTCCTCAATAGTGTGCAGGGAATTCTACTAGATGAAAAGCCAAAATGAGTATGACATCCTGGCATTTAAAGCATTCTACATTTTCTAAATTTCACATACTATAGAATGTTCTATTTTTCCATACCCAAATAGCTTACTAATTTAGAGCACAAGTATGGTTATTGGGACGCGGTCACTGTGTGACTACTATAAACGTAATTTGAGTGACGGCCATTTGAAGGGCAGTGAACGAAGAACGGGCTTGTCTACCCTATCAAACACTCCAAAATGAGGGGATTTGGAGGAATCTTAACAGATAATTCTTTCCTAAGCATGTAGTGAGCAACAAAACAAAGACATAACCCAATGGAATTAAACACAAGTGTGTGTCTATGAGAGGTTGTGTCAGTCACTCACCCACCACCCTGGTGTTGTAGTAGTCAGGCAGCATCCTCTCACACAGAGCCACCAAAAGCCAGAAGGCCTCCTCCTCCGTACAGTACAGCAGCAGTACCGACGTCACAATGTTCATCGCCTGGAGAGAGAGAACGGTTTAGTGATAACACAGAGGTTTATCACAACAGAAACAGACAGATAACCTTTACAGTAAAGAATAAACCACCAGAATAGAGTAGTCACCCTGACAGAACCATTTCCAGTCAAATAACCTAGTTACAATATCATGATTACGTTTCAAGAAAACAGTCACGCTTTATTTTAAATAGCATTTTCCTGGTATTTGCTAATTATAGCTATGGGCCCATTCTACTACTTCAAAGAATTCAAATCAATTGGCCACTATCTGGAACCAAATCGTTAATTACAGTGAAGCAAAAGCCAAATGATTAAGACATTCTATTTCCAAGGATTTTTGTACTTGTTACCCCTTCTTCTCCCCAATTTCGTGAAATCCAATTGGTAGTTACAGTCTTGTCCCATTGGGAGAGGCGAAGGTTGAGAGCCATTCGTCCTCCAAAACACGACCCTGCCAAGCCGCACTGCTTCTTTACACACTGCTCGCTTAACCCAGAAGCCAGCCGCACCAATGTGTCGGAGGAAACACCGTACAACTGGCGACCGAAGTCAGCGTGCATGTGCCCAGCCTGCCACAGGAGTCGCTAGAGCACGATGGGACAAGGACATCCCGGCTGGCCAAACCCTCCCCTAACACGGACAACGCTGGGCCAATTGTGCGCCGACTCATGGCTCTCCTGGTCACGGCTGGCTGCGACACAGCCTGGGGTCGAACCCGGGTCTGAGGTGATGCAGTGCCTTAGCGCCACTCGGGAGGCATTTTAAGGAATTTCTAAGTCAGTCAGATAAGTCACACATTTCTATATCAGTCAGATAAACTACACAGTATATACAAACGTATGTGGACCCCCCTTCAAATTAGTGGATTCGGCTATTTCAGCCACACCCGTTGCTGAAAGGTGTATAAAATCGAGCACACCGCCATGCAATCTCCATAGACAAACACTGGCAGTAGAATGGCCTTACTAAAGGGCTCAGTGACTTTGAACGTGGCACTGTCATAGGATGCCACCTTTCCAAAAAGTCAGTTGGTCAAATTTCTACCCTGCTAGAGCTGCCCCGGTCAACTGTAAGTGCTGTTATTATGAAGTGAAAACGTCTAGGAGCAACAACGGCTCAGTCGTGAAGTGGTAGGCCACACAAGCTCACAGAACGGGACCGCCGAGTGCTGAAGCGCATAAAAAGCGTCTGTCCTCAGTTGCAACACTCACTGCCGAGTTCCAAACTGCCTCTGGTAGCAACGTCAGCACAATAACTGTTCACCGGGAGCTTCATGAAATGGGTTTCCATGGTCGAGCAGCCACACACAAGCCTAAGATCACCATGCGCAATGCCAAGCATCGGCTGGAGTGGTGTAAAGCTCGCCGCCTTGGACTCTGGAGCAGTGGAAACATGTTCTCTGGAGTGATGAATCATGCTTCACAATTTGGCAGTCGGATAGACGAATCTGGGTTTGGTGGATGCCAGAAGAACGCTACCTGCCCGAATGCATAGCGCCAACTGTAAGGTTTGGTGGATGAGGAATAATGGACTGGGGCTGTTTTTCATGGTTCGGGCTAGGCCCCTTAGTTCCAGCATACAATGACATTCTAGACGATTCTGTGCTTCCAACTTTGTGGGAACAGTTTGGGGAAGGACCTTTCCTGTTTCAGCATGACAATGCCCCCGTGCACAAAGAGAGGTCCATACAGAAATGGTTTGTCGAGATCGGTGTTGAAGAACTTAACTGGCCTGCACAGAGCCCTGACATCAACCCCATCGAACAACTTTAGGATGAATTGGAACGCCGTCTGCGAGCCAGGCCTAATCACCCAACATCAATGCCCGACCTCACTCATGCTCCTATGGCTGAATGGAAGCAAGTCCCTGCAGCAATGTTCCAACATCTAGTATAAACCTTCCCAGAAGAGTGGAGGCTGTTATAGCAGCAAAGGGGGGACCAACTCCATATTAATGCCCATGATTTTGGAATGAGATGTTCGACGAGCAGGTGTCCACATACTTTTGTAATGTAGTGTAAGTAAGACATTGTCAGTGTTGATAATGTGGCCCTGCGATAGACTAGCGTCGTGTTCAGGGGGTGTACTTGTACATCAAGCTGCTTCACACTACAAAAACTGGAGATTTTTCTGATTGTCTGTTGACCACCTGCATAGTTTTAAACAATGCTGTATAAAACCCCCCCAGAAAAACAAAACAAGTTGGCATACCTGGCAGTATCCTATGCCAGGGTTGCGGCAGGCGTAGGCGGTGAGGACCCTGCGGAGGGCAGCGATGCCCATCTCATTCTGGAAGGCATGGTGCTCAGGCATGGAGCGGTGCAGGTCCCTCTCGATTTCCTCCGTGGCCAGGGTACAGCGGCCCATGGCCTGCTCCACCAGCTCAGCATAGTAGCCAGGGTGGGTGGCCATCTCATTCTGAGCTCCTGGAGAGGGGATGGATGGATTGATGGAATGGATTATAAGGCAGATACAGTCAATATGGGTTTGTCAGTGTGCAAATGATCTAATGTTTAGATCCTTTTGATTCTAACCATTGTAAAAAAAATTCCAAGAGTCCAGGGAGTCAGCTGATCTCAGATGAGTCAGACAGCTTGGTGACGTTGCACCACTAGGCAACAACAGCGCTTCCCTTATCACCATGGCAACAGAGAGACTGAAACACACACTACCTTCAGGTCACAAGGTACAGTGAGGGAAAAAAGTATTTGATCCCCTGCTGATTTTGTACGTTTGCCCACTGACAAAGAAATGATCAGTCTATAATTTTATTGGTAGGTTTATTTGAACAGTGAGAGACAGAATAACAAAAAACAAATCCATGTCAAAAATGTTATCAATTGATTTGCATTTTAATGAGGAAAATAAGTATTTGACCCCCTCTCAATCAGAAAGATTTCTGGCTCCCAGGTGTCTTTTATACAGGTAACAAACTGAGATTAGGAGCACACTCTTAAAGGGAGTGCTCCTAATCTCAGTTTGTTACCTGTATTAAAGACACCTGTCCACAGAAGCAATCAATCAATCAGATTCCAAACTCTCCACCATGGCCAAGACCAAAGAGCTCTCCAAGGATGTCAGGGACAAGATTGTAGACCTACACAAGGCTGGAATGGGCTACAAGACCATCGCCAAGCAGCTTGGTGAGAAGGTGACAACAGTTGGTGCGATTATTCTCCCTCGACCTGGGGCTCCATGCAAGATCTCACCTCATGAGTTGCAATGATCATGAGAACGGTGAGGAATCAGCCCAGAACTACACGGGAGGATCTTGTCAATGATCTCAAGGCAGCTAGGATCATACGCCGTGAAGGACTGAAATCATGCAGCGCCCGCAAGGTCCCCCTGCTCAAGAAAGCACATATACAGGGCCGTCTGAAGTTTGCCAATGAACATCTGAATGATTCAGAGGAGAACTGGGTGAAAGTGTTGTGGTCAGATGAGACCAAAATCGAGCTCTTTGGCATCAACTCAACTCTCCGTGTTTGGAGGAGGAGGAATGCTGCCTATGACCCCAAGAACACCATCACCACCGTCAAACATGGAGGTGGAAACATTATGCTTTGGGGGTGTTTTTCTGCTAAGGGGACAGGACAACTTCACCGCATCAAAGGGACGATGGACGGGGCCATGTACCGTCAAATCTTGGGTGAGAACCTCCTTCCCTCAGCCAGGGCATTGAAAATGGGTTGTGGATGGGTATTCCAGCATGACAATGACCCAAAACACACGGCCAATGCAACAAAGGAGTGGCTCAAGAAGAAGCACATTAAGGTCCTGGAGTGGCCTAGCCAGTCTCCAGACCTTAATCCCATAGAAAATCTGTGGAGGGAGCTGAAGGTTCGAGTTGCCAAACGTCAGCCTCGAAACCTTAATGACTTGGAGAAGATCTGCAAAGAGGAGTGGGACAAAATCCCTCCTGAGATGTGTGCAAACCTGGTGGCCAACTACAAGAAACGTCTGACCTCTGTGATTGCCAACAAGGGTTTTGCCACCAAGTACTGTCATGTTTTGCAGAGGGGTCAAATACTTATTTCCCTCATTAAAATGCAAATCAATTCATAACATTTTTGACATGCGTTTTTCTGGATTTTTTTGTTGTTATTCTGTCTCTCACTGTTCAAATAAACCTACCATTACAATTATAGACTGATCATGTTTTTGTCAGTGGGCAAACGTACAAAATCAGCAGGGGATCAAATACTTTTTCCCCTCACTGTAGGAGTTAGTGCTTTCCTTGATAACAACAGAATTCTGATGTGGATGTGTTGACACACACAATGCTTGCTTGCACACACAGACTCATTTATTCACACAGAGTATTGTTCACTGTGTTGCTAACATGGTGGCTGACACTCACATCCATCCTGAAAGATTAGACACCCACACTAATTTCACACTCAGGCACAAACAACGGCTAGCACTCACATATAAATATAGATGTCATCTTATCGCTCATAGAAACTCTTCTTATTACATTTTACATTTTAGTCATTTAGCAGACACTCTTATCCAGAGCAACTTACAGTTAGTGAGTGCATACATTTTCATACTGGCCCCCCGTGGGAATCGAACCCACAACCCTGGCGTTGCAAGCGCCATGCTCTACCAACTGAGCTACACAGGGCTTATCTCTACGCTATCTCTATTTAACCTTCAAACTCTGCCATTCAAAATCATCATGTTTGAAGAAACCATATATGGCGTATATTGAGTCAGTGTATTAGTTTATATTTGGTAAATTATCTATTTTAATCTATACAATCTACAATTATGTTACCTTTATATAGGGCAAATTGACTTCATGGTACAGTCTGCTAGCGCCATCTAAACCAAACTTCAACCCTCAGAGAAGAACAGAAATCATTTGAGGAAGAGTTCCTCTGCAATGACACTACTTGTGGCTGTGGTCGGTGGTTTGAAACCCCACAGAGGTGCTGCTAAAAACACCCCAAAGACATGTGTGGTGGAGAAATTACAAGATTATGTTTAATAGTGTTTATGCAATAGAATAGGGTTCTTAGAACTCTCTCATCTGTGTGAACTGAGAGGAGCCTCTGAAGCTGGAGTTGACAATTGATTTATGAATGGTTTGGTGATAAAACCTACAGCATGCATTCCATAGAATGAGTTGGTGTTTGTGTAATGTAAGGTACCAGGGAGAGATGGCTCGGGTATGGATAATGATGAGAGGAACCTTGTCTTGGGGGCCAAACCCTGGTGTCCATACAATGAGAACAGTCTTCACCGCAGATACTGTCTGCTGTGAATTATTAATTTATTTCATACAATCCTAACCCTTTGACTCATTCCACACATCTGCTGTTTGTCATGTAAACTGAGAGGGTGTATCTTTGCTATAAAATATATTTGTATTGCCTGTATGTCAGAGCTCTCGGCCCAACACACAAGAGCGTTGGGTCGACCAGCCTCACTTACTACCTTATTAATACGTTTTGAATAAATAAATATCCTGATTGGTGATTGACCTTGTCTCTCCTCATTATTGATTAGAATTTCCACGACAATTTTGGCGATGAGGAGGTGATCTGCACTTCACCTGTTGACCGCTCCTGAAGACCTTGATAAATTGTGCACAGGAGATCAGAAATTGGGATCTCAGGGAAAACCACGCTCCTGTATAGCAGCTGGACCCGCCTAAGATCTGAGAGGAAGCGGGCACGGGGGGATGCCAGATCCCGAACATAGTACTGAGAAAGGTGAGCTTGGACAATTTATCAATAAGTGATGAAAAGTAAAAAATAAGAAAAGCCCCTGTTGTATGCCCAGAGCGAGGTCCTCCTTAAGGGGGCCACAGCTGGGTTAACTAGCAGGACTGTGTTGAGTTGATAGGAGTGTTCTTAAGTGAGGTATCCTTGACACAGGAAAACCAAAAGTCCAGATCCATGGTACTGGGTTGATCATAGTAGGACTGGTGAGGTTAATGTATTGAACGAGGGACTACAGTGCAGGTGACGCCTTGTGAGGGCATCTGACTTGGTGAAGTTTAAATTATAATGTATAATGTTTTGAGGAAATGTTTTGATAGATGAGGAAAACACGTATGCCCTGGGTTTGGGATGGTACATAGTTAGATAGGAGACACGGGTACTCTGTTGGTAGTTTTGCATAGACATAAGAGAATCGATACCACAGTAATCGCAGTAGGCAATATCCCAGTGTGGAGACAACACCCCGGTTTTGGGACCACTAATTAGGATAATGGTATGGGGGTTTCCCTGTTCATATAGACAGGGTTTGAAATCTAAAAACAGCGCTAACTGGTTTTCCTCGTCTGTCTCATTCCCCTGTGTGTCCTGTGTGTTCGTGTTCTGTGTGTTCGTGTCCTGTGTGTTTGTGTGTGAATGTGAGATGTTATTGTGAGTGTAGAAATAAGTGTTAATCTTAAATGTGGATAATAAGATATAGACATTTCCATAATAAGATGATTTAAATTTGGATAATAAGTTTCGATATATAGCGTTATTTTGGGGTTCCGTCCATCACTGCCCATCATAGAATATCGTGGGGTGGTATTGAGTGCGGATGTTATTTTAGACAGTAACGGCAAGTTTGGAGAACCGTTGAGGATACTTGTGGAGCATTATTCCCATGACCCGAAGGGCAGTGTCCGGGAAACTAGTTTTTTTTCCCCCGTTGGGAGTATGACAACACACATGAAGTGGTGGATGTGAGTACCTAAGATTTCTAATGTTATACACTGCTCAAAAAAAAAGGGAACACTAAAATAACACATCCTAGATCTGAATGAATGAAATAATCTTATTAAATACTTTTTTCTTTACATAGTTGAATGTGCTGACAACAAAATCACACAAAAATGATCAATGGAAATCAAATTTATCAACCCATGGAGGTCTGGATTTGGAGTCACCCTCAAAATTAAAGTGGAAAACCACACTACAGGCTGATCCAACTTTGATGTAATGTCCTTAAAACAAGTCAAAATGAGGCTCAGTAGTGTGTGTGGCCTCCACGTGCCTGTAGGATCTCCCTACAACGCCTGGGCATGCTCCTGATGAGGTGGCGGATGGTCTCCTGAGGGATCTCCTCCTAGACCTGGACTAAAGCATCCGCCAACTCCTGGACAGTCTGTGGTGCAACGTGGCGTTGGTGGATGGAGCGAGACATGATGTCCCAGATGTGCTCAATTGGATTCAGGTCTGGGGAACGGGCGGGCCAGTCCATAGCATCAATGCCTTCCTCTTGCAGGAACTGCTGACACACTCCAGCCACATGAGGTCTAGCATTGTCTTGCATTAGGAGGAACCCAGGCCCAACCGCACCAGCATATGGTCTCACAAGGGGTCTGAGGATCTCATCTCGGTACCTAATGGCAGTCAGGCTACCTCTGGCGAGCACATGGAGGGCTGTGCGGCCCCCCAAAGAAATGTCACCCCACACC